TTCCGACGGATTCCGGTTATCCCTTTTCCGTCGGAAATCCGTCAGTATTTCCGACGGATTTTCGACGAATTTTTATTTCCGACGAGATAGAACCGACGGACTAAAACCGTCGGAAAGCCGTCGGAATAGGGGTTATTCCGACGGATTTCCGACGGTTTTGGCCGTCGGAAACGACCCTGTTTTCTTGTAGTGTTCATGATACCTTGAATCCCATCGACCTGAGAAAACAGTTGCAAATTTGTTACAAAGTTAGTTCATGTAGTTTCTTACTCGAGATATGCGAGTCAAAAGTTATTGCCAGACCTCACAATAGGAACTGCTTCCGTTGAGGTTAAAGCAGTGTGAAACCGGGATGTTGATTGGATGAGCTCGGAAACCCCAAGCGGGAAACCTCTTGAATGCCTGCGAAAGTGGTAAGTAGCATCAGATTACTTGCATTAAGATTGTATGAAACCTCTTTTGGTCAAAGATCCATACCCTGTCTCCATATATGTTTATGTCCAACACCGGTAGATACATTCACAAGTTGTTCTTCCATGGCCAAAGTCACATGTGGTGCCTCAAACCTTTTCTTTAACGGCAAGTTGATGTTTTGAGACACAAATCCAGAAGGGCATTTATCTACATCTTCTCCATCGTCTTTTCCATCATGGTTATCTCCCCCATCATAGCTCTTTTTATCTGATTTCTTTCTCACAAGACGTATATTTGGGCCCATTCGGTTAAAGGACAAGCAGAAGATAGTATGGACGCCAAAACGATATTGAAGTAGCTTCCAGCCCAATACTCTTGCAGCGTTGGAGTCGTGTTGACAGTGACCCATCAGCATGAGCATTGTGCCTAACATAGGTAAGCTTGATATGTCTCACGTAGAGGTTACGCTCGTTGATGAGGATAGACTCGTATCTATCATAAGTCCACTTGAAGAAACTGACCATTCTTGTCATGTCGAAAGATCCAACACCGAGAGTTGAAGTTCTTGTGGGAAAAAAAACTGCAAAAGAAATACGAAATTCATCAAAAATTAGTTTCTAGATTAGTATGCAAACAAAACAGATTATTTTCAATGGAAATGTACTTGTAAGCTCCCATGGTGGTCTTGTGAAGATTGAAATATCAGAGATGGTGCGAATTCTGATGTTAAATCCATCACTAAACAAGTAACAGTTGCAAATATCTCACGGATTAACAAAATATCAAGAAACTGATATCAAACTTACCGTAACAGAGATGAAGAAATCTGTGATACTCTTACAACTCTGTGAGACCGAAACCGTTGCAAATAACTCAGATCTGTAAACCCATATGTGATCGACGATAAACAAAACTCGGGAAAAAAAAACTGACCGTCACACATATCTCTCATTCCCTTACATATCTATGAAAACAATGAACAGATACGAAATCAAAGGAAGAACCGTAGCAAGCAGTACCGATTCAAGATAAGATGAAGAACCTGATCGACGACGAACAAAGATTGGGGAAAAAAACTGACCGCCGCGGAAATGTAGAAAGCGATTCTCTGATTCTGTGAAAAACAAACGAAGAAATTCGAAAACAAGCAAGAATCATAGTTCACAA